AGTTATATACATATTTGGCAGGTGCTTATAATAAGGTCTATATAAATGAGTTTGTAAAAGGGGGCGTGACGCATCCCATAGGCGTGGATCTTTTTATCATCTATAACTTCGGAATCATAAGTCCCTCGAACTTGAAATTTGGTGTGCAGACATAACAATGGTAGGTGCTTATACGAGGGTATATATAAACGAGTTTGTAAAAGGGGGCGTGGCACATCCCACAGGCGTGGAATTTTTTATCAGGTATAACTTCGAAACCATAAGTTGCACGAACTTTAAATTTGGTATGCAGGTATAGCTATGGTAGGTGTTAATAAAAAGATAAATATAAATGAATTTGTAAAAGATGGCGTGGCAAATCCCATAGGCGTGGAAAATTTTATCACCTATAACTTCATAACCATAAGTCACATGAAATTAAATTTGGGATGTAGACATATCTATGTGCGATTGGGTCCGAGTAGACGGCAACACCGACGTTAGGCCTTAAATATAGGCAACCCTACTGACCGAACTGAACGAACGCACGCCAAAGATGGCTTACCTAACTGTAGCTAGTGAACATAAAATTCAATTCGTTGTCGACCGTCGCCGCGTGAGTGCCTGCCTGCCTGCCTGCCACCGTCATTAAACATATGTTTGGTAAAACCGAAACGTAAATTGTACTGTGTATTATATTCAAATAGTCCTATAAAATATAAATTAAATGAAACAAGAACACTCGCTAGCCTACAAAGGGGTGACAGAAGTGGTGATTATCCACTAAGTCTTCTTCTTCTTATTTGGCGCTGTAACCGCCTAAGCGATTTTGGCCGAGTCCAAAACAGCACGCCAGTCATTTCTCTTCTGTGCTAACTGACGCCAATTGAAAATGCCAAGTGAAGCCAAGTCCTTCTCCACCTGGTCTTTCCAACGCAGAGGAGGCCTTCCTCTTCCTCTGTTACCAGCATCGCGGCCCGCGTTGAATATTTTCAGAGCAGGAGCGTTTCTGTCCATCCGAACGACATGGCCAAGCCAGCGGAGCCGCTGAATTTTAATTCGCTGCACTATGTCTATATCGTTGTAAAGCTCATACAGCTCATCGTTAAATCGTCTGCGATATTCGCCATCACCAACGCGTAAAGGTCCGTAAATCTTTCGCAGAATCTTTCTCTCGAAAACTCCAAGAGCCGCCTCATCAGATGCTTTCATTGTCCATGCTTCCGCGCCATACACCAGCACAGGCATGATGAGTGACTTATAGAGTGTGATCTTTGTACGACGAGAGAGGACTTTACTTCTCAATTGCCTACTCAGCCCAAAGTAGCACTTGTTGGCAAGAGTGATTCTCCGTTGGATTTCACGCCAAAGATGGCTTACCTAACTGTAGCTAGTGAACATAAAATTCAATTCGTTGTCGACCGTCGCCGCGTGAGTGCCTGCCTGCCTGCCTGCCACCGTCATTAAACATATGTTTGGTAAAACCATAACGTAAATTGTACTGTGTATTATATTCAAATAATCCTATAAAATATAAATTAAATGAAACAAGAACACTCGCTAGCCTACAAAGTGGTGACAGAAGTGGTGATTATCCACTAAGTGCCGGTAGCAAAAAGCTTGTAAAAGCAATAGTGTAGCAAACAAGTACGTATGTATGCTTACGGAGAACACCTAAGGAAGAAAAACCAACGTGCGAAATAAACTAAATTTTGGCTGTATAAGAGCATACGCAGATTGTGCATAGTGCGTAACTTTTTCGAAAATTTTCAAAGAAAAACTTTTAAAGAAAATCGCTTTTAAAACAACGGGACTCAACCGTTAGAACCATCCGCTACGCAAGTTTATTTTACAGTTGTCGCTAAAACTATTTGCGACGTTCACAAAAACGCTACACAGTGGAAGCAGTGCGCAAGCTGATATCGGTCAAAAACACGAAAGCGTTGTGCATTTGAGGCAAAAACGCCAAATAACCAAATTGCGCAAAGACAGTAGGATCTGGAGAAATTACAAATTCGTACAAATACTTAAATTTTGCGAAGTCTGTACCTTAAGTAAAGGGTTTCGTGGCAAGGCGGCGGTAACGGTTAAGAAAACGTTAAAATCAGCGCTGGCGCAGTAACGCAAAGCTGAGAACTACGTTGGCAGAGCTGCACAAGCTAAGCAGCGAGAGCAGTAGCAAAAGTGCGGAAGCTGTGTGACTAAGCAGAGGAGTTCGACGGGGACGAGACAACGCGTAACAGAAGTGCGTTGCCTAGGTGTGAATCCTACAAGGTTGCAGTGGACTTGTGCGTGACATCAGTAGAACGCAAAGCCGTTGTTGTATCCGAACTCGCAATTGGTGTGCAGTCCAAGTTGTTGCGGAGTTGTTGTGAAGAGCCTATTGGGTGTTGTGGTCAGTGTCGTCAGGTTGCAGCCGAACGAGCAGAGGAGTTGTAGCAGTTGTCAAGTCATACAAACCAACAGTGGGGCAAAAGCAGAGCGTAGCTAAGAGAAAATACAATTTGACTACTAATGTTTTTATATGTAAATTCACTTTTGCTTATCGAATTAATCATCATTGTCATTTATCAATAACTATATATGTACGTATGTTTCCTTTTGGCCACATGCACATGTAGGCGTTAGAGCAGAAATAATCTAAGCGATATATGTTTGAATAGTTAGGCTGTCGACAGTGGACAGAATATCTTAAGCGTTTTAAAACTGTTTTATTTTCTTGATTTAAAATCCGTTACAATATTGGTCCTTGTATTTGTGGAAAAAAAAGAAAGAAAAGTATCAAGAGAGAAAGTTTTCTAACTACATAACGAAAGATTAGTACTCGTAAATACGGTGGCCCAGGTTGAGAAGATTGATATACCAAATATCGATAAACTATTGTCGTACTTAATTTTGTTAAATCGCTGTTCATTTTGAAGTTTTGATATTTTACGCATTTTGTAAGTGGTAAGGGTCTACAATTGAGCGAAGGAAAATCCTAGCATTGAATGTAGTAAGGTTGAAACAGAGGTTGTAAGAGTTGGGGTTGGCTACTACAGGACGCAAGGTCACGCTACAGGACCGACTACTTGAGCACTTCGGTCTGAATGCCGATAGCGAAGATGATGACACTAGTGGTGATGTCGATGCAGCTTCCATTTATGATAACGCTGGTTCGTCCCCATCAAGGGCAATGCCAAATAGCTTTCATGAGCGTTAAGATGGAGAGTCACAATGCCAACACTCTAGGAGACGATATGTGCGGCAGGATAGGAGAAGCGGGCAGATGCATCTTCGTAGACGTTAAGCGCAACCATATAACATTTTCCGCTCTAGTCGATACAGGGTGTGACCTGTGCTTAATGCGGTATGACACTTTGCTCATGCTTGATAGTGATATTGAATTGGTCGGCGATCGACGTCGTCTGGTAGGAGGAGGGAAAGGCGGGCTAACCACATTAGGTATTTTTGGGAAACACTCGGTAGGAGCTGTACTTGGCGTTTGACAATTTTCCACACCAAACTTCTGTGTCATACAGCTTAATATTGGACAACGAAAAGTAGAACCAGGCACGGATCAATATAATACGTTTCACGCAATTAACCACTTTCTTTGGAAAACATCGCCTTCAATGCAGATAGGAGAAGGAGATCTCAATGGGTGGCACTCGCTATAGGGTTCAAACTCTGAAAATGCTCACGGTAGAGCCATAGCCAATATAAAAGCAGCTAACTCGATGGTGGTGTGTAATAAAGGTTGCACTCCTACGTACTCTGTACTCGACTGGCACGTCAACATTGACGCTATCCAGAACTCAGACCACAGCGCCATTTGTTTTAAAATAAAAATGCATGAGAAGGTTAGCGCAACAAAAAGCCAATCTACATTCTTATACAGAAGTAAATCTACAAAATGGGATGTCTTTGATGAAGTCCTAACGCAGCATCTTCATGATTCGGATGTATTGAATACAGACTTCGACAACATTACTCCAGATGGTCTAGATAATGTAATTGAGAAAGTCGTGAAGGCAATCACAAATGCCTGCCATATTTCTATGAGAAAGCGGAAAGCTGGAAAAACATACAATCCTTGGTGGAATGATGAACTACAAACGCTTAAGAATAAGTGCATCAAACTTCATCACAAGATGAATAGTCTAGCCAAAGCGAACAAGCCGGTCGATATAATTGCAAACGAACACGCCGCTGCTAAAAAGGTATATACACAAGCCCTAAGGGAAGCATTAATAAATGACTTCAGAAATTTCTGCAACAAGCTAGAAAAAGATGTTTGGTCCCTAAGAAATAGGCTCATTAAAGATGCTCCAGTCCACCGACCACCAAAAACTCTCCAAAAAGAGGGCTCATATACTCAATCGAGTATGGAGACAGCTGACGCACTACTCCGTCATTTTTACCCCGATGACAGTGGCGATAGTACCGTTCACCACGCATGGGTTCGGCAGAACACCAAACAAGCACTTGATACACCGAATGATAAAGAGTTTTCCGAAGAAGAAATTTTGGAGGCTTTGACTACAATGCCTTGCTAAGCAAAATCTAAAATTTTTAACTTCAACTTATAATGCATGCCTGAGGCGTGGAAGCAAGCGCATGTAAAAATTCTTCCAAAGGCGGGTAAAAAAGATGTTAGTAGCTTGTCCTCCTACAGACCAATCGGACTTCTTCCTATATTAGGAAAAACCTTGGAGAAACTTTTTACAAAACGTCTAACGTACCATTTTGCAACGAACGGACTAATGTCGAGAAACCAGTACGGCTTCTGAGAGCAAACATCTACAGTTGACGCTCTTTACAATGCAGTGAAGCATATAGAGCGTGAAAAAGTACGAAAGAGACAAGTCATATGCGTATCTTTAGATATAAAGGCGGCATTTGACAACGCTTGGTGGCCGGCACTCCTAAATCAGCAGGCAAGGTACCTAATTCCCTCGAATATTTACTACCTCATTCGGAGTTACCTTAACGAGAGAACCGTCAGGATCAATTTTGCAGACGTAACGACGACAAAGAAAATGACCAAACGCTGCGTGCAAGGTTCGGTATGTGGTCCGACCTTCTGGAATACTATTCTGGATGAGTTACTTAACCTGCCCCTGCCTAGCGGCTGCGTTATACAAGCTTTCGCCGACGATGTTCTTCTCAACGTGAGCACAGAATCTGTTAAAGATCTCGAAACGAGCGTTAATACAGCACTTAGTATTATACATTAATGGGGAATGGGGGTAAAATTAGTATTTGGAGACGATAAAACGCAAATCATATCGTTCACAGAAGTCAAATAAGGCTAAAATCGAGATGAATGGTGTTCGATTAAGCTTTGTGGACGACATTAAGCTTCTTGGTGTTATCATCGACAAGTGCCTGAAGTTCGTTAAACACGCCCGATATGTGTTGACAAAAGCCCAACGTATATTCACAAATTTAAGCAGGTTCGAGAGACCAACATGGGGTGTACACCCCGAAAATATAATAACCATCTACAAGCAAGTGGTGGAACCTACTATTACTTACGCTGCCGCGATATGGGGTAATGCCACCAAGTTTTACTACATACGCCGACTTTTTCAAATGTTTCAGAGAACATTTGCTATACGCGCCATCAGAGCTTTTCACACCGTTTCTCTAACGTCAGCACTAGCCCTCTCTAGATTCATACCTTTACATTTAAAGATGTCGGAATGTATGAAATTAGATGAGGTGAAGAGAACGGGCACTCTCGAGCATACCAGTGACACGAGTCTCCAAAGTCGTGTACAACAACATCAGCAATTACATCCAGCCGATCGTCAAACAATTACATACAGAACCGTGAATACTCAAGAAGAACTTAACTCACTAGACACCTTCGACTGTATTCAAATATATACTAACGGAAGCAAACAGGAAACAAGTGAAAGCAAGGCCGCGTTTGTCATAAGCAGACAAATTAACAGCTGGGAAAACTTTATGTTCAAACTCCACGATACGTGTACAGTTTTTCAAGCAGAGGCACTAGCTATCGATCGCGCCTTAGAGTGGGCTGAATTCAATATGACCAGCAAAACCCTTCAAGTATTTTCTGATAGTAAATCATGTCTCGAAGCGATCAAAAATAGAGGTAATGACCTGCCTCTCATCTCTTCGATTCACAACCGTCTACACCACCTTAGGCAACACTTAGTCGTTGAGTTTTTCTGGATTAAAGCACATGTAGGAATAGAAGGCAACGAGGCTGCTGACAATTATGCTAAACAAGCGTCAACCTTGACTGTAGACGCCACATACTCGCAGTTCCCGCTGAGCTATGCGAAACGTGAACTTCGTTTACAAACTGAAGCTAAATGGCAGAAAGAATACGAAGAAGCAAATACCGGCAAAACAACGAAAATCTTCTTCAAATCTACGAGTGAGGCAAAAATTTATGCGGACGCCTTTGGAATATCCTTTGAGTTAACTCAAATTCTTACAGGGCATGGCTATCACAAACAGTACCTGAAACGATTTAACATAACAGACCAAGGTTGCAGTCCATGTGATGGTGAAACATCACAAACCTTGGATCACCTACTACACGAGTGTCTATGTTATGCGAGCGAAAGACGGAGTTACACTCTACTTTGCGAACATCAAATCCCAGCATTCAACATGGTTGCGATCAGTGCTCACATACAACTCACTGAATTCTTTAAGAAATTAATAAAATTTTTTAAGAGTTTAACGCATAAATTTGTTCATTTAGGTACAACACAATTAGATCTTATGACCACAATTGCCTGTATCAATTAGCAGGCCATATTATTTTTGTACAACAATTTTAAAGAAATATAATAAGCAGTATTCTGATGATTTTTGTACATGTATCAATAGCTTCATATCTGCAAACGAACATTGTATAAAAACCCATTATAAATAATATATTTTCTGAACACGCGGGTAGCGTATTGAAGACCAAAGGAAAAAACCACATTAGGTAGTTACACGAGAGCGTTTATCATCGACGAGATGGAGCTAGAAATCACGTTTCATGTGACCAGGGAGCGCAACATGAAGTATGCAGCAGTAATCGGTAACGACATCCTAAAACAGGTAATCCTAATCGTCCACGAGGATCTAGCGGAGTTTAAGCCGAAAAGGAAGACTTCCACAGAAACCGACAAGACCGCGGTAGCAACTATCGAAACGGAACCTGATTTATGGAGCGAGTTTGATGGACTGTGTACAACAACGATGGAGAGGAGCGAGTCCGAGCTTGATTTGTCACATCTCAGCAAGAAGGCAAACCTTGTAAAGGAGTGGGTCAGCAACTATGCGCAGAGGAAGACACGCAAAAAGCCAGTGGAGATGAAAATCTTGCTGTCCGACGAAACACCAGTATACGCGGGGCTAAGACGTATGTCACATGCGGACAAGTGCATCGTGGAGGAGCAGGTAGCAACATGGATGAGAGACGGAATTATAAAGACGGCGTCAAGCGCCTTTGCTGCGATTACAGATGGCTCAACGAGAAGATAGATTTTCCGATGCCACTAATCGACGACGTGGTTGAAAGGTTGCACGCGTCGAACGTTTTTACTACACTCGATCTCACAAATGGATTCTTCCACGTACCGGTTGAAGCTAGTTCGGGAAAATACACTTCGTTCGTGACTCACAATGAGCAATACGAATTCCTTTAAGTCCCGTTTGGAATTTCGAACTCGCCGGCCGGACGGTACCGTCGTCGCTTACATGGACGACGTCATCATTCCCGCCAAGGAGATCAACGAGGGAGTTCAAAAATTGGGAGCCGTCATTAGAAGGGCAGAAGAGTATAACCTACGATTTAAATGGAACAAGTGTCAATTCCTTAAGACGTCGGTAGATTTTTTTGGGCTACGTTATACAAGGGGGTACTATCAGGCCATCTGAGGCTAAAACGAGGGCGGTCAAAAACTTTCCGATACCGCAGGATCGTAAGGCTGTGCAACGGTTTTTGGGCCTGACATCTTATTTCAGGCGATTCATATAGGGGTACGCAGTGGTCGCTAAACCACTTTCGGACCTTCTGCGACGCGATACGACGTTTATCATAAAAGAAGAGCAGCTGCTAGCATTCAAACAATTGAAGGCGGCCCTGGTGAAGGCTCCAGTATTGCGGTTATATAATCCCAAGTCGATGACGGAGGTGCACACGGATGCGTCGATGTATGGTTATGGGGCAGTCCTTCTCCAAAAGGATGCTGACGATCAGCTGTTCCATCCCATACAATACATGAGCCGGAAAACAACTGAAACTGAAGAAAAATATCATTCCTACGAGCTGGAAGTGCTGGCCATTGTTGGGGCACTCAAGAAGTGGCGTGTCTATCTGCTGGGGTTGAAATTCAAAATCGGATTATAACGCGTTCGCAATGACGATGCGGAAGCGGGACACTCCATTAAGAGTCACCCATTGGGCGTCATTCATTCAAGATTTCGATTACGAAATCGAACACCGAAGCGGAAGCAAGATGAGACATGTTGACGCCTTAAGCCGAGTTTCCTGCTTGCTGTTGGAAGATTCATTGCAACTATGAGGACTTTTTTATAAAGAACCATGTATTGCATAAAGACCCCTGATTGTCGTGCCTGCGTCGATGGGGGAAAAAGAAGGTGCTTTAAGTGTGGAAGCACTTCTCATCTGGCCAAGGACTGTCGCGGATCGTTTAAATGTTTCAGGGGCGGGCAACCAGGGCACCGAGCTGCTGACTGTAGAAGCGCTCCAGCTGCTATCAAAATGGAGAGCCACAATGGCACTACTCTAGGAGATGATATACGCGGCAGGATAGGAGAATCGGGCAGATGCATCTTCGTAGACGTTAAGCGGAACCATATAACATTCTCCGCTCTAGTCGATACAGGGTGTAACCTGTGCTTACTGCGGTTGACACCTTGCTCATGCTTGATAGTGATATTGAATTGGTCGGCGATCGACGTCGTCTGGTAGGAGTAGGGAAAGGCGGGCTAACAACATTAGGTAGTTTCACTAGAGCGTTTATCATCGACGATATGGAGTTGGAAATCACGTTTCATGTGACCAGGGAACGCGATATGAAGTATGCAGCAGTGATCGGTAACGACATCCTGAAACAGGTAACATTAATCGTTCACGAGGATCTAGTGGAATTTAAGCCGAAAATGAAGACATCAGAAGAAACCAGCAACAACGCGGTAGCAACTATCGAAACAGAACCTGATCTATGGAACGAGTTTGATGGACTATGCGTAACAATGATGGAGAGGAGCGAGCCCGAGCTGGATTTGTCACATCTCAGCAAGGAGAAGGCAAATCTTGTAAGGGAGTGGGTTAGCAGCTATGCGCCGAGGAAGACACGCAAAACGCCAGTGGAGACGAAAATTTTGTTGGCCGACGAAACACCAGTATACGCGGGGCCACAACGTATGTCACACGCAGACAAGCGCATCGTGGAGGAGCAACGAGAAGATAGTAAGGGACAATTTCCCGATGCCCCTAATCGACGACGTGGTTGAAAGGTTGCACGCGGCAAACGTTTTTACTACACTCGATCTCACCAATGGATTCTTCCACGTACCGGTTGAGGCTAGTTCGAGGAAGTACACTTCGTTCGTGACTTACAATGAGCAATAAGAATTCCTTTACGTCCCGTTTGGAATTTCGAACTCACCAGCCGTGTTCTCCAGGTTCATCTTTGCAGTTTTCCGTGATGATGATACAAAACGGTACCGTCGTCGCTTACATGGACGACCTCATCATTCCCGCCAAGGAGATCAACGAGGGAGTCCAAAAGCTGGGAGCCGTCATTAGAAGGGCAGAAGAGTATAACCTCCGATTTAAATGGAACAAGTGTCAATTCCTTAAGACGTCGGTAGATTTTTTGGGCTACGTTATACGAGGGGGTACTATCAAACCATCTGAGGCTAAGACGAGGGCGGTCGAAAACTTTCCGATACCGCAGGATCGTAAAGCTGTGCAACGGTTTCTGGGCCTGACATCCTATTTCAGGCGATTCATAGAGGGGTACGCAGTGGTCGCTAACCCGCTTTCGGACCTTCTGCGACGCGATGCGAAGTTTATGATAAAAGAAGAGCAGCTGCTGGCATTCAAACAATTGAAGGCGGCCTCGGTGAAGGCTCCAGTATTGCGGTTGTATAATCCCAAGGCGATGACGGAGGTGCACATGGATGCGTCGATGTATGGGTATGGGGCAGTCCTTCTCCCCATACAATACATGTGCCGGAAAACAACAGAAACTGAAGAAAAATATCATTCCTACGAGCTGGAAGTGCTGGCCATTGTTGGGGCACTCAAGAAGTGGCGTGTCTATCTGCTGGGGATGAAATTCAAAATCGTTACGGATTGTAACGCGTTCGCGATGACGATGAGGAAGCGGTACACTCCATTAAGAGTCACCCGTTGGGCGTTATTCCTTCAAGATTTCAACTACGAAATCGAACACAGAAGTGGAAGCAAGATGAGACACGTCGACGCCTTAAGCCGAGTTTCCTGCTTGCTGTTGGAAGATTCATTGCAGCATCGACTGCAACAAGCGCAGATGATGGACCCATGGATCAAGGCGGTTATGAAGGTACTTGAGAAGGATGAGTATGAGGACCTTTTTTATAAAGCACCAGGTATTGCACAAAGATCCCATTAAGGAACTGATTGTCGTTCTTGAGTCGATGGAGGATGGAATTATCAAAGTCGCAAGAAGCAGTCGAGAAGACTTTCTACATCCCACAGTTGTCTACGAAAGCGGCGAAAATAGTGAAGAGATGCGTCGAGTGCATCGTTGCGGAGAGCAAGTCAGGGAGGATGGAGGGTTATCTGGCGCCAATAAGCAAAGAAGATAGGCCACTAGGGACCTACCACATCGACCATCTGGGGCCAATGGAAATGACGTCGAAGCGATATAGTTACATCTTCGTTGTAGTGGACGCCTTCTCAAAGTTAGTGTGGCTCTACGCATCAAAAACCACGGCAGCAGATGTCATAAACCAGTTGAAGTGGCAGGCGGCGACGTTTGGGAATCCGAAACGCATCATCTCGGATCGCGGCGCGGCTTTTACTTCGAATTCCTTCAGAGAATACTGCGAGCACGAAGGAATACAGCATCTTCTGGAAGAGGAAATGGGCAGGTGGAGCGTATTCACAAAATAATCATCTCGATGCTAACGAAAATGTGCGTCGACGATCCCAGTCAGTGGTACAAACATCTTGAGCGGGTCCAACAAGCCATCAATAGCACGCCGCCGCGAAGTACGAAGATTTCACCCGACAGGCTGTTAACGGGAGTCGAGATGCGAGTTAACTTCATCCCTGAATGGCGGCAGCTCTTAGAGGACGCCGCCATCGAGGAGTTGGACACTGAGCGGGAAGAGTTGCGAAAGGAAGCGCGGGAAAGCATCAACAAGATCCAGCAGGAGAATCGTCGATCTTTTAACAAGAAGTGGAAAGAAGCGGTGAAGTACCAGATCAACGAGCTAGTAGCCATTAAGCGGACACAATACGGTGTTGGTCTTAAGCTGAAGCCAAAGTTTTTGGGCCCCTACAAAATTACGAAGGTCTTGGGCCACGACAGATATGAGGTACGGAAGGTGGGTGACCATGAAGTTCCCGGGAATACTACAACAGTCGCCGAATATATGAAGAAATGGGAGCCGGCCGTCGAGCCACCAAGCGTGTCATCATTCGAGCCGAATGATCGGTCAGGAGGGCCGAATGTGGGATTGGGTCCGAGTAGACGGCAACACTGACGTTAGTCCTTAAATATAGGCAACCCTACTGA